TAGGAACGCTGGAGAGCCTGAATTTGATATTAAGGATAAATTTACATAAATTCCATGTTAGATGTCCTGAAAAAAACTACTATATGCCAGTAAACATTTTAATGAATGTATTTTGAGTAAATTCAAAATTCTAAAAGAACAATATTTTCATGTTTTCTTTTTATGGGAATTAATGTAAAACATAAAAGATTATTTTTCAAAAAAAAGTGTTATACATTTTTTTGGCACCACTTTAAATAAATAGTGGTAAGAGGGAAGAAGTAATTGGTTGTGTAAAGTCAATAGGAAATGGGACACAGTTACTAAGACTTACAGAAAAGAAAAAGTAAGTAAAAGTATGAAATTATAGGATAAATAAATAGCATTTCAATTATAAGAAAACCTATAATTAGAATAAGATTTTAATTAAAAAAGTATACTGACTAATTTTACTGTAAATGTACTGAATTTATACATGGACTGTATTATATGTTTGTATATTTTGAAAGTATATGCATTTAACTTAGATTATTTACGCTTAGTTGAAAAATGGTATTTATATGATTTTTGTTATAGATTCTCAGCAAAACTATATCCCGAAGAATGACCTTTGAAGTCACAATACCAGTAAAAGAAATTAATAAAAGAAAATAAAAAGTAATGATACTCCAATGTTTTCATATTCGTATCCACAGGTGAATCTCAATGTCTTGGTTATATATATATATATAGAGATTTTACAATTTCCTTGTTAAGGACTAGTTTTCTTGTTACATTTGTAAGAATCTTAAACACCAAATAAACAAAGATGTGTAAGTTATGTAATAACAAGATTTATTTATTTTTATTATTGTCCTTGAATCATATATTTCTATGAACTATTCATACATAAAACTTTTGTTTTACTTTTATATAAATAAACTCAATTGGTCTCAAGTACAAAACAAAACACCATGCAAGATGTTCCTCAAAAATACTATTGGTTCACCATCTAAGTTTGATAATAACTTTAGTTTGAGTTTTTTTTTTACCTCTGATCACGTATGAATCCAAGGCCTTCACCATTGTATCAAGAGCTTCTTTCCTAGTGTCTCCATATGTTACAAGCTAGAAACAAATATTGCATTATAAGCATTTATTTCCAGTACTCCAGGAAAAAATGTACTATTATTTTGATATTTTTCTCATTCTGTAATAATATTTTGCATTTATTTTTCAAATTCTAATAAAACTTTGAACTAAATTTTTTTTATGTAATTTATTATTCTCAAGGCTAATCTTGTTTTTTCAACCATATTGTACACAGCGTGGTCACAAGTAAATAGACACCACCTTTTCAGAAAAAATGAAATTTTTCAGTCATATTCACATGAATTGATATATTTATAATTTAATTAATATCTAGTAGATCTTCCTTTCGC